TACTTAACTTGCAGTTTATTCTCTCTTGATCCTTTTAGTATAATAAAAAATTATTCTTGTATTTTCAAAATTACTTCCTAATTATTTTCTTATAATCTATTGATATGAACCTATAAAATATTACTTTCATAAGTGGTTAATATTAATTTAATTATCAATAATAATTCTTCGTGATTTGTGATTTGTTAGGTCAACTTACTTTCAACGCTCCAGACAATATTATAAGGATCCTTCTCCGAAAAATAAGTCAATGTGGTTTTATTTGTCAATTCATTGGATTAGTTTAATCCATTAACAATAATAATAATTTCATAATCATACACAGAAAAACAAGTTAAAAAAAAATTCTTGAACCAAGAAAATTATTTTGAAGAGTGTGTCATTATCTTGAATGACAAGTACAATTTTACTGAAACCAAGGAAATTTCTCATTTCAAAAATCTTCATAAACCAGTGAAGTTAGCCGAGTGGTCAAAGACACAGGGCCTATAGGGCATTCGAACTAACTCACCGGCCAGGCGTGGGTTCGAATCCCAAGCTGGTCTTAAAAACCAGCTTGGTTGAGATTTGACCCTTGCCGCGTAGGTTAAGATTCTCTCAACCAAAAAAGACCCCATCGTACCTCTCCCAATACTCAAAATCGGCGATATAACCACAGTAGTTAAAATCGACTCTAAATAAAAATTAAGGTAGTTCCAGCATGAAATCACTTTTCGACAGATTCGGCTGAAATTTTTTTTACGGGTTCAGAATAGCTTTATTTATAAATTCCTAAAATTTCATAATTTTTGACCGTTTAGATCGCGAGATATTTAAAGTAAAAGTTGGCAATTTTGAGGGTCATGTTCCATTTAAAGTATGTAAAATGTCCGGTCTCTCCAACTATTTGATATTATATTAAAAAATTCTCTCGACAGAATTGAAAAAAAAATTAGGAGAGTGTTGAAAAATGTTTTTAGAATAAGTTAAAAAAATAAAAGTAGCACCTCGACGTTTCGTTATCGAGATATAATAATTGAAAAAAATAATTTTCGATCCATTTTTAACCTGCTCATTGAACAATTTATAGTGATCCGGAAACGCCGTACGCAACGCTCCCTGTAATAGTGTAGCATAAAAAGCGGGAAATTCAAATCTTTCACGGTTTTCAAGAGCAACGTTGCCAGATCACTAGAACTAACAATATGTAATTGTATATGTGAACGTCTGTGTGCCGAGGCTTTTAAATTTTTGTCTATAGTAAATGCTCTGACTATACTATACCACGCTGGAACTACGTTAAAAAAAAAAACAATAAAACAACTAAATAAATAAAAAATAACAATCTGTAATACTAATTATTGTCCCTGTTCTCGAAAAATAAGGTCACCCCTTAACTATCTCTGGAGCAATAAAAACTCCAATAACAATATCATAGAAATTGATACTACGAACTAAATAACCCACGTAATTCATCTACCTTGCATCTCTACCAATCGAAAATCCCGAAAAAAAAAATCTTCATACTTAAATCAAGAGTAATTCCTTGGTTCATGAATTTTTCTCTTGAATCAGATTAATTTTTTTTTGGCGTACCTACCAATTTTGTTTTGAATATTCATCATTGTTATTGAAATTTGAAGCAACATAATAATAACAATGAGTAACAATATTGAGAATAAATTTTGATGATTAATCATTGTCGTTAACGACAATGACGTTGATGTAAGGTCTTCATATTATTATAATTATCATTTGATATTATTAGATAGATAAGTAATCTAAATCTGCTTTGATTGTATTGGTCAGTAATTAGCCGTCTAATTAATCTAATAAGTGGTAATTGCATTGTTGATTATATGCCTACGATTACAATTAGGTGCGTGAATAATAGTAAATCGAATAAAATAAAATTGAAAAAAACGGACTTCCCTTTGTGTATGTGAGTATATGTATAAAAATACAAAGGTCGAACATAAGCATGACGGCGAGTAACGGAGAAAGAAAGATAGGGTGGGAGAACGAGCAGAACAAAGAGATGAGTAACAAAGAAATTAGTAGGCAAGTAGTCATGCATCTGTATCACCGAGGATCTCGCTAGATAGGTCAAGGATACCGTCTAAAGTTTGTTATTTTTATATCGTAATATATTATATATAATAAATAATAATAATATTGATATTAATTTTGGTTTCTTTTTGTAAAACCGGAACAAAAAATTTTTGTTATTTTTTCTGAGCTTGAAATATTTTATTGTAGTATGATAAAATTTTTTATTGACAATTATTATGCTCCTTAAATTTTTTATCATGATTTTAAGTCATGTGTATATGTAATAAAATTTTATTATCTTATTCATAAAACATAACTTCGTTTAGAAAAATCTTTTATTAAAAAATAAAGATCTAATCGAATTGTTTTAAGTTATTACAAAATTTTTACTTAAATTGGGTAATAAATTCTTTATTACCAATTTAACTTTTTTTTTATTTATTGCGCCGTTAAAAATATTTTACTTAAATTTCAAGTACAAAAATATTGTTCCGTTTTATCATCAATGACATTTCAAGCATTATCTCAAAAAATGTTGTTTTAATTTATTTTTCAAAGATAATATTAATCTAGATTCAAATTTCGGTTAGTCATTAGCGCGCCGAAAATAATTTGTCAATTAAAAATTTCAACATACACTATTTTTATTGCGGGTTATTATTATTTTTTTTGTAATAACATTCTGAATATAATTCCAATCCCTCAAACTAATGAATTATTTAATAAGGAAATAAATCAATAAATCACAATGGCAAAAAATAGTGTGACACTTTATTTGAGGGAAGCGAATACCAAATTATTTTATTCTATTTTTATTTCAACCTTATTTGATTACCGTCCATCCAAAATATCGATACTTGAGTGAGAACTTTTGTTATTTTCTTTTCTATATTTAAATGATTCGATCAAATAGGGAGAAATAGAAAAAATAAAGTTATTATTCTATCAAATCTATAAACATTTTTATACATTTGTTTTTATTTTTCTTTACCTAAAAACTTCTGCTTAACTAAATTTCACTTGCTCATAATTATTCTTTTGTAGTTCCAAAAATTTTGCTTTAATGATTTTGTAGCTCTTAACATATTGAAATTACAAAATAAAAAAAAAATTTTAATGTAAAATAAAGTTTATTTAACAAAATTTTTTTTTTCAAGAAAAAAAAATTAATTCAAAAATTCTTTTAAAAATAAATGTTTACTTGTCATAATTTATTTATTTAAATCTTAAAAAAATTAAATAAGTTTCTTTTTTTAAACTATTAAATTAAAAAACAAAGGAAAGTTAAACCAAAAGTAAATTGCATATCAAATATTCTTCTTTACAATTCTACAGAAAATAATGTTTCATTTTTGTAATAAATTTTTTGAATTTTTGATCATAAAAAAAAAATTTTTAGTGCCAAAGGTTTAAAATTTTTATAGAAAATTAAATAAATTAATATAATTATCAACAAAAATTTTGCTTCAAAAAAAAGGTGCTTGTTAGTTTTGAATAATTAATATTTCACGAAATGAATTTTTTATTTTTTAACAACTCCGTATAAGAGCTTGAACACTTTTAGCTATCAGCAAACATGCATTATCACACAAAAACGTTTTTTTTATGTATGATACACGCTCTTACAGACAGAGATCAATTTTCAACCCAAAGATAGTCTTCCAAACATTAAAACTGTCTGCTCTCAGTTTACATTAAAATTATCATAAAATTTATCATCTCTTTAATTCTCATTTAAATTTATAAAATTCAAATCAGCAGTCATCTACTTACTATTTTTCAATTTTGTGTAAAAAAATAAAATAGCACAAAAAAACTATTCATAAAAAATCTTCATCGGTTTTTACAATTTTTATGTAGAATTTTTGTCTTATCCCTAAAAAATTGTTTTTTTCACAATGAATTTGATCTTTGAATTAATATCTTGATACAATTATAATTTTATAAGAAATTTATCATAAAAGTATTTCAATTTTGTCATAAAAATGTATATATAGTTTAACTTCATGGATTTTTTTCTACAGTCGGAACAAAAAGATATTTTTAGATAATAATTATTGTGAAGAATCTAATCCATAATAAGTTTGCTCTAAAATAATGAAAAATTAATTTCAAACTAATTATAAAATAAATATGAAAATGACCTAGTAGCAAATATTTATTCTGAATGAAGTTTATATTATTTCTGCAAAAAAAAATTTATGAAAATTAAGTTAGCCGACATTTAAAAATTTTTAGAACTTTTTCTTATTAAAAAAATTTTCATTTGTAAAAAACTTGATAAACTGTAATTGCAATTTTTTAAAAATATTTTTTTGTTCCAATTAATAACCAAAAAAAAATCAAAAAATTGAAAACGTCGGCTAACTTATAATAATACAGTTAGCCGACATTTTCAATTTTTAATTTTTTTTTTCATTATTAAATTAAAGCCAAAAAGTATTTTTTAAAAAATACATTTATTGTTTTTCAAGCTTTTAACACATGCAATTTTTAAAAAAAATTCTTTTGTAATAATTTATTCAATAAAAAAAAATTCTAAACATTTTTAGATGTCGGCTAACTTAATTTTCATGGCTAACTAGTGTTATAAAAAATTTTATTCATTTTTGCAAGAAAATAAAATTAAATTTTCATAATATGAATAAAAAAATAAATTTTTTTCTTTAAAAACAATAAAAATGACTTTATCTTCCAAAAGTCTGTTTTATCCAAAAATTTTATGAAAATAAAGTTAGCCGACATTTCAAAATTTTTAGAAATTTTTTATTAAAAAAATTTCAATTAAACAATTAAAAAAAAAATTTTCACATGTAAAAAACTTGAAAAACTATAAGTGCAATTTGTTAGAAATATTTTTTTAGTTATAATTTAATTAATAAAAAAAATCGAAAATTTTTAGACATCTGCTAACTTCAGTGTCATAAAAATTTTCCCCCCTTTAAATGAATCAATAGGAAAAAACTTACAACACATCTGAATAAATCCATAAAATCTTCATAACCTACTCCAACTTCCCTGCGCACACTAATTAACAGTAAAATAATACAGATAATAAATCAATTGAGTATAAACCAAAACAATCAACTGAGTAAATATCTTAAATGATTTCTTCTTTGAGTTATTTACTCCTTATCGCACAATATCTGTATATTATGTCATATATTTATGATGTATATAGATGTATTAAAGAGTATTGTCCTAGTGCTTGACACAAAGCATCCGTCACTACCGACACCACTGACACCACTGACACTACTGACACTATGGAGGTAGAACCACCACTGAATAAACTAAAACTGATCGGGAGTGTTATATGAGTAGAATGCCCGCTGCTTATACCGCGTGACAACAGAATCCGTTCTTGTTCCTTTTACTTCTTACTTATCTTTTCTTCTCCCCAATACATAATATTTCAACTAACATTCATTTCTTCACTCCCAACAAACTCCAAAAAATAAATAAAAAACATTTCAAATTAGATTATTTAATTTATCCACAAAAATCTAAATAACTCTCAATAAAAATAATGACACCGTCAAAATCAGCTGCTCGAGTCTCGAAATATTGTTCTACATGTGGATTATTCTGAGGATGTGCACCCACGTGACAATTACTCCTAAAACCCGAGACTTGGAGTGCAAATTAGTCTTCGCTAAAAATTAAAGAAGAAATCACAAAAAATTCTTGAGGAATTTTCTAAAGAAGAAAGGAAAGAATTTTTAGCTATATAAAAAACTTGGGAAGAAATAATTGATATTTTAAAAAAATTATGGAAAGTTATAAAAAAATTACGGCACTGGATTATGCGCGGAACAAAGAAAATAATAATAAGAACGCGAATCGTTTGGACGCTCAAGGGGATTCGACCGAAGTGACTCAGGCTCAGAGTTAGAAGTGGGAGTTTAAGAGAGAGAGAATGAGAGAGACAGAGAGAGTTAATGTGGTTTGAAATAGAAGGTAAGGGCTACGGCCTGGGTCGATACTCGAGCACTAAGCGACCGCGGGTGCACGTGCACTCGCGAGTTCGCGTGCACTCGCGAATACATAGTTGAAGTTTTGCGATGAATAGAAGTGAGAGGCGCCTTTCTCTTTGCTGTTGATGGTATATACATGTTTATATGACTCTGTAAGTTTGAAGTACATAGATTCGACTCCCTCTTCTTTGAAGGGGAAGTTGCTTCCCTGCTATAAAGAAGAAACAAAGAAGAGAGAGAGAAAAATATTTGTTGTCCTTTTTTGCATTAATCTTTGATTTTTATGGAGATTCTAGTGGAGGGAAGATCCTGGAAAATCTTTGTTTGATTCTGGAACAGTTTAGCCGTCAGGAAAATATTAGGCTTGAATGTTTGGTTCAAGAAAAAAATCAAATTATTTTGATGATTTTTATTTAAAATATATTAATCATACCAAAAAATAGAGCGAGAGATTTGTTTTCTTTAAAAGATAGTTGGGTCATTCCATGTCAAATCGACCAATAGTTGGAATCGACCCCTTTCGATTTGGACAAATTTTGGTCAGAAGTTTTCTTTTATCATATAACGAAGTTCTGCCAAAGGAAAACAAATAAAAAAATTTTTTTCAAAAGATATGCAAATTGTAAATTTTGGGATTTTTTCAGTTTTTTAATTTTGTTTTTGTAATAACTCGAACGCTAGTATAGATACAGGAATGGTCTTTCGTTTGTTTGAAAGGGGACACTTGGAGCTATTTCAAAAAAAATATTTTGGGACAAAAATTTTGAAAAATGCCAAATTTGTCAAATTTAAAATTTTTAAAAATCGTTAAAAATGACGGTTGACAATAAATTTTTTGTATACTATCTTGTACCAATCTTAAAAGATCCTGAAATTTTTGGTACTGTATTTTTTGTTTTTTCAAAAATATGAATTTTTAAAATTTGTTATCAAATTTTTTTTTTATTTTTATCTTAATTGAGTTTGGCAAATCGCGTAATTTTGATATTTTGAACAGTTAGGGTACCCTAACGCGTAGTTAAAAATAATTTTTGAAAACGAATTTTGGATTTTTACTTTAAACTACGCGCCATTTTGTCAAATATTTTTTTTTTTTTTTCATTCTAGTATACACGATAACTATACTTATACTAATTAAAAATCAGTCATATTTTTTAATTTCAGATCAGAGGGAGAGATCAATCTACTTCCACCAATCAGGTCCATTTTTTTTTAAGAGGGGGACTTCAGCGCCATTTTTCTAATTAAAAAAAAATTTTTTTTTGTTTTGATTTTAATTTTTGTGTAGTTGATAAGTAATAGAATAAGTGTAAAAAAATTTAAAAGCATTAGTCATTCCCTTCATATAGAAATAAAATTGTTAAAATAGCTTAAATTTTAGGCTGCTTGACCACCGGGTCCCCTTAAAATTTCATTTAGTGGCATAATGATGAGAAAAAAACCATTTTTTTTTTATTAAAATATATTGTAAACTACAAAAAAATTAGTCAAGATATGTTGAGTATGAATTAAAGAAAAGAAAATTTTGAATAAAATGAAATTCACCCCAAAAAAATTTTCTTTCATAAAAATTAATTATTGAAATTATTATTATTGTTATTTTTTGTTTCAATAAAAACTGCAAGAGTAGAGTGCTCAGCGTAAAAAAAAATATCAACATCTAACGAGGAAATCGATGAATTAAAAATCTTTTTTTTTTCAATAAAAGCTTTGACTGTCTTTTGTTAACAAAAAATTCTGCTAAAATTAAAAAGAATTTTTTTTTCGAATTTTCATTGAATGAAAAATTTCAGATTTTTTATCCTAAGTAATGGACGTAAATTTAATTTGGGTTGCTTGGTATGTATCTATTCTATTCTATCGTATAAAGGGTATTGGGTGAGGGGGAGGGGAGAAGACGATGGAAGAGCAATTGAGTTTATAATTCATGATTTATGGTTTATGATTTACGATGATGCGGTTTGATTGAGGTGGAAAGGAAAGGAAGTAACTGTTGATACACATGATTGATGTATGATGACAAGATGATAAGGGTGTAAGAAAATTGAAGAATAAAGATGTTTTTTGGGGTTTTCGATTGCTAGGGATGGAAGGTAGATGAATTACGTGGGTTATTTAGTTCGTAGTATCAATTTCTATGATGTTAATGGAGTTTTTATTGCTCCAGAGATAATCAAGGGGTGACCTTATTTTTCGAGAACAGGGACAATAATTGGTATTACGAATTATTATTTTTTATTTATTTTTTTTTTTTAATTAATTTTTATTTAAAGTCGGTTTTAACTACTGTGGTCATGTCGCCGACTTTAACCCAAATCTCAACCAAGCTGGTTTCTAAGACCAGCTTGGGATTCGAACCCACGCCTGGTCGGTGAGTTAGTTAGAGCGCTCTATAGGCCGTGCGCCTTTGATCACTCGGCTTAACGTCGCCGATTTATTTAGTTGTTTATGGGTGGTTTAATGATTTTAAGAAAGAAATTTTTCGAAAATTTTTTAATCACAATGAATAAATATTATAAAATAAAAATTTATGTAGGATGGATTCCTAATAATAATAATAATAATTAATAAAGATAGATAGTTATTATTTTAAGCCTGTTACCCGATCCAATTATTGAAGAATGTTCAATTTTTTTTTAATACAATAATAATACAACATATACAATGAAAATAAAACTATTAAAATTTCATTTTCGACAAATTTTTGTTAGATAATGTGTAAAGATGTAATTTTTTTGCTCATTGTCACTTTTTTCGGCAACTGAAAAAATAATTCAGACAACCCAGACCAAGACTCGAACCTGGATCTTTTGGTTATGCACCAAATGCTCTATCAGTTAAGCTATCTGAGACATCGTCCGTAAATGATACTGAGTCAAAAAAATTACATCTTTACACATTATCTAACAAAAATTTATCGAAAATAAAATTTTAATTGTATTTTCACCGAAGATTTTTTCTGATAGTATGAGACCTCGCACCGAAAAATATTATGGTGAAAAAAAAATAATAAAATTAAACATTCTTCAAGAATTGGATCGGGTAACAGGCTTAAAATAATGACTATCTATCTTTATTGATTAAAAACACCGATTTTCAAGTCACACATCAAACATAATAATAATAATTATTATTATAATAATAATAATAATAATAATAATAATAATAATAAGTGAATGAATAAATGGAGATTTAACACAAGCTTGGTACAGCATAATTGTGAAATTATTATAATTAATAAGCTAATTTTAATTGATAAATACAACTACATTAACTCAGAGAAGAATTCTCTTATTAAATTCTCGACAGTATTGAAAATAAACTAATCTAAAAAATTCACAACGTGTTTAAGTAGCGAAACATATTATGTGGAGAATATTGACAATCTAATTGTTAACAACTTATAAAAGTAATATTTTATAGATTAATATCAATAGATTATAAGAAAATAATAAGGAAATAATTTTGATAATTCACGAATAATTTTTGCTAATACTAAAAAGATCAGGAGAGAATAAACTGCAAGTTAAGTACCGAAAGTTCCGTAGGGCGGCGTATAGTAATTTTTGTTGTTCGCTTGAAGATACTCATTTTTAAAATTTATATTCTGTTCAAAAGCCCATTTGGTATCATTCTGAAAGCAAATTTTATTCCTCAGAAATTATTAACAATGCTTGAACAAGCTAACAGTCGTGTGGACAGAAAAGTCCAGCAAAAATCTTGCTCGGGCTCTGTCAACGACTCTTTAAGGGCACTGGTTGAAGTTCAATCAGTGTCATATTGGCAAAGAACAATTATTAAAAAATTTGCTAGATTAAAGGGCTATCGGGAATTGAAAAATTCCTAGATCAAGCTCATGGTTAACTATTAATATCAGATTAATATCTAGTATATTAATCTGATTTTTGAAATTGCGGCATTTGCTGAGAGTTGCTCCGACATTGCAGTATCGTTGAGTGCAACTCAACTGATCTAATTGAAACAAAATTTTCTTTTAGCATTATAAATTTATTTTACAATGGCTTAAAATTTTTTCAGTCTTAACTGTACTGTACTATAAATTAATCTACATTATCTTTTTGTTTCACATACTTCTGAAAAAAGATTCAGTAAATTCTTTTCAAAAAGTAATATAATTTTCAAAGTTATTGCCATGCTGTCGTAGCTGTTGTAATTGTTAGGTCGCTGATTTTGTCACCCACAAAAAAAATAATAATAATGATAATAAAACTTTGCAAATTATGATAATTATTCAACAAAAAGAATATTATACAAGTCAATTAAATGTATTTATCACATTGCGTCATGTATACTTAATTCTTGATTCCTTGCTGCAACATATTATAATACATTCATTCATGTATTATTATTATCATTATTATATTTCTGCAACTATTAACACAGAAATTAATAACCTTAATTAATTACATTCATAAACTGCTTAGCTTGACTCTATAATTAAATGTAATATATTATAACTAAAGATATAAATTAATGAACCCAATGAAAAAACTCAAACAATAACGTAACAATCTCTGTTATTTTTTTCCATTATTAAATCCTCTTATATTTTTATAGTATACTGTCCATAAAAATAAATCGTCAAGTACCTAGTTGCTCCATATATATATTATTTCTATAGAACAATAGTCATAATAGTAAATTAACTTCCAGGAAAATAATATGCCGAGTTCAATGAAATCTAATAGAGTGTTCGGTACACGCCTGCGTTCATTAAAAAAAATATTAGTACCATTTCTTTGTTTAAACTAAAATCGCTTACAGTTTGTTTAGAATAATAAATATAAGATAGAAACATTATCACATATTGCTCACATATATAATATATAGAATACGAAAAGGAAGAACAAAGATTTCGTATCAGCAGACTTTGGCATTTCTATCATGTTTGTTTTTGTTTTACTGTTTCATTTTCTAGGACAGTAAGCACTAGTCATCGTTTAACCGTTTCCTCGTGTTCTAGTACGCCTGCACTGACGACGCACTCACATTTTTTTATTAGTTTATAAGCATAGTAATGATAACAGACTAGATAATTAATTACTCAGCGGTCCGAAGTCCAAAATTATGTTAAATTAGTTTTTAATCCTTTTTTGCTTGTACGATCGATTTATATTTGATTTTTTTATTTATTTCAGAAAAATGATAAATTAAGAATATTATCCACAGATTCGGTAGAATCTGGCGCCAAGTTCCGTTCAAATCTTTTGTAAACGGAGCGCCAGACTACCGACTGTGTTTACTGTAAGCAGAACGGTATTTTGCTTATCAATTCATTTTTATCGGTAAATAATCCTCAATTTTGTTCTGTTTGTATGGTTGAAAAAAATTAAAATGAATTAAAAACTTTCAATTTTTTTTAATTCATTTCAATCGGTAAATGATCCCTATTTCTTTCCGTACCTGTAATAGAGAAAAATTAAAAGGAATTCATATTTTTTAATTCTTATCAATTCATTTTTATCGGTAAATAATCCTCAATTTTGTTCTGTTTGTATGGTTGAAAAAAATTAAAATGAATTAAAAACTTTCAATTTTTTTTAATTCATTTCAATCGGTAAATGATCCCTATTTCTTTCCGTACCTGTAATAGAGAAAAATTAAAAGGAATTCATATTTTTTAATTCTTATCAATTCATTTTTATCGGTAAATAATCCTCAATTTTGTTCTGTTTGTATGGTTGAAAAAAATTAAAATGAATTAAAAACTTTCAATTTTTTTTAATTCATTTCAATCGGTAAATGATCCCTATTTCTTTCCGTACCTGTAATAGAGAAAAATTAAAAGGAATTCATATTTTTTAATTCTTATCAATTCATTTTTATCGGTAAATAATCCTCAATTTTGTTCTGTTTGTATGGTTGAAAAAAATTAAAATGAATTAAAAACTTTCAATTTTTTTTAATTCATTTCAATCGGTAAATGATCCCTATTTCTGTCCGCAACTGAAATACAGGAAAATTGAAAGGAATTCACATTTTTTAATTCTTATCAATTTATTTCTATCGGTAAATACTTCATAATTCCTATCTTTGTTATTAATTGGAAGCAATAAAAGTGAATTAATAATTTTGAATTATTTTTAATTCATTTCTATCAGTAAACACTCCATAATTTCTATTTTTTTTATTGATTAAAATAAATAAAAGTGAATTCAAAATTTTCGATTTTTTTTAATTTATTCCAATCGGTAAATGAGCCGTATTTCTTTCCGTATACCTGTAATAGTGAAAAATTAAACGGAATTCATATTTTTTAATTCTTATCAATTTACTTCCATTGATAAATGGACTCGACAATACTCGACAATTGTTTTTTGTCTGAATGATTAAAAAAATTGAAATAAATTCAAAAATTTGAATTCTCTTCTATTTATTTTCATCGGTAAATAATTAACGATACTTAAGGGTATGTAATATACTAACCTAAGATAAGATTAAAAGAGAATAATGTCAATCAGTTTGTTAATTACAGTTTTTTATTATTGAACCTCAAATTCATTGGGTTGAATACATAAATAATTTCTATTAGGTTCATGACATAGCAGAGATTTAATCGAAATATAAACCAGTTTTGATTTAATGTCTGTTATTGGTAATCGCACTGTTTGATTCGCACAATTATCAACCGCCCAAAGATGCTCAAAGTCGTCAACAGAATGCACATCCAGTTTCCGAATTTCCATCACTGCTTCATTATTTATCAATAAAAATCGAATGATTTGTCCCATTTCGCCATTATTCATTCTAATAAATGAGTTGTTAGTTTTTCTTGCTTGTTGATATACTTGACCGTGATACATCTTTTTTTGAAATAAACAACGACTATAGAATATGCGGAGTTTTCCAACTGTCCTTCATTGACATGATCCATGAGTAACGCGCCATTATCAGACTCTACAGCTTTCGATACATTTGGTCGCTTTTTGTTCAAAATCCCTTCACTAAATTGTCGACATGTTTCATTAGATTCAGTAGCCAGCACTTTTTGAAAGTTGTTAGAGCGCAACGTACGAATTGCCATTTGGCCTAAAACACCATTTGGACCAGATACTTGTAATTTAAGATTATAAATATTATTTTCAAATGCGTATGTTGATGTCGCCCAAGAAGGACCGTTTTTTCGGACACTATCAACGATATGGAGCAATGAATGGACATTGAAGGTGATGAATGAAATACCATACAAGTTTTGGCAATCGTACACAAATTTCAGTAAATCCATTTCGCATTGCAACAATTCATTTTCTGTGAGGTTAACAGAAAGCAGCTTAAAAATACTTTTCACTAACAGTTTATAAGAATCTAAAAGATCTTGCCGCAAAATTCCACTTAAAACAGGCACACTATAAAATAAAAGCCAAGATCGCCATTCTGTCGCTTTCCAGGATTTTCTTTTTAACAGTATTTGTGGAGTTCGATGAATCTCGTTCGGTGGTTGTATAGCTGTTAATCTGGCATTTATCAATTTTCTTTGATCAACTGAAAGAAATTCTTTACTCCATTTGTTCCATAGCTGGCGAGTAACCCCTAATAAAACCCCATGCATATAATCATGAGGAAAACCCCACACACAATCAAAATCAGACAGAGATGACAGCACACTTGATCCTTTTATGCCAAAAACAGTGTATTTTTCATTTTTTTTAGTCTTCCGAAGTTTCTTTATATCGTTTTTATGTTTTTCCACATCTTTCACGTAGCTTTCATGGTCTCGTAGACGAGGAGTATCGGATGATAATGGATATTTCATACTTCTTGAGCTGGTTTGTCCGCGTTGATAACACCAACTGCAACCGTAAAATCCGTTGAATTGCAACCTATTCTGCAAGACCGGCCGTGCTACGGAATCGACGGGAAAAGAAAAGATTTTAACGAAGTACGTAATAACGCGACCATTTTCAACCAATACTTTCAAACCTGTCACTGTTAGTTTTTGAATTTGTGTAATAAATGACTTTAAATACAAATTCATGAACTCTGGTTTTGGTTCACATGAAGTATACCACAACCCAGCGAGTAACATAAAGTTATGTCTCATTATTTGTGGGATTTCGTTGATTATACACTGAATAGGCCAAAAACTGTTCTTACCACTCTTAAACAAAGGCGCTCCATCGAGATTCACATTTAATGTTAAAACCACATTATCAGAGTCATTCTTGGACTGAATAAATTCATCTGCCTTATAGCGGTCACTATCACATACATCGCTAATGCTATGCTCTGCGTTTGTATTACTGCGATTTTCAATTTTATCCTGGATTTGTTTTCGAACATATTCTGTTGAAAGATAATTTTGTAGCTGTGGTTCTAAATCAACTGTCACAAAAAAATTTCCTTCTTTTTTTGATGTTTCATACTTTTTTTTACATTTATCGCATGTTACTTCGGACTTTATATTCTTTGTTATCGGTAATGGATTAGTCAAAAGGTTGTTGCAAGTTGGACAATAAAATACATATTGTGCGGCATTGCTGACAGGGTTGAAAAACTTGTTGATTAAATACTTTGAGGTATCCAAACATTTAAACTGTGGTCCCGCAGCAAGTTTCATCAAACTGATAATAGCTTGTTGAATTTCATCGCTCAAATTAAAACGAACAACAATCGCCATAATCATAGTAAGTACTTGCCAAACCGAGAGATTCGAAGGTTCAAACATAATTGTATTTTTTAATTTGTATAAATCATCTTCTCTTAACGACTTATCACAGAGTCCGGAATTATTGGCTGCATCATTTTCTTTTTTTCCTTTCGTATAACTTCTGGATTCAGCTTCGCTTAGTCCAGAAAATGCTGACCGTTTAGATTCTTCCCCGATATCTGAAAATAATAATATATAATTTAATATATAATATATAATTTATATACAAATTTGAATTAAAATGAGAAAAATTTGAATTCATTTCAATACAACATGAAGAATAAAAAAGAATTGAAATGACTAAGGTTTGAATTGTTTTGAATTCTTTTTAATATGATAGTGAGAATTGGAATGAATTAAAATGAGAAAAGTTTGAATTTTTTTTAATTCATTTTAATGCTGCCCGAAAAATTAAAAAGAATTCAAATTACCGGTTTTTGAATTATTTTCTATTCTTTTTAATGCGACCATAGGAATTAAACAGAATTAAAAAGAATTGAAATAATTTCAATTCTTTTCAATTGATTTTTTTAATCAGGGAAGACTTATTCAGTTTTACAGAAAAAGAAAAAAAGTATTTCTTTTCAAAAAATTTACTAATCAAAATTGGAGAAAATTGAAAATAAAACTATAAAAAAGAATTATAATGCATGTTTTGTAAAAATTTTTAACTTCCCGCTAAGAAAAATTGAAAATTTTTCAAAATTCGGGAAGTTATTGATTTTATCCCGTTTTGATGGGACTGGCGATAATCGACGTGATTTTTCAAGGTTAGGAGTGGATTCGTTTTTGGAATTGATCGGCAGAGCCGTTTAGAAGTGATTAAAAAAAAACCATTTTTTAAAAATTTTATTTTTGAGATTTCTCAAAATCAACCAATTAACATCAAACCAAAAGGTAGCAATGGTGAAGAAACTCGTGGAAATTCTGGACCTCAACCAGCCGGTGATATTCCTCCTCTGCAGCGAGACGACGAACTGGCTACAATAGCTCAGGTTTAGGCCGATCGGTGTCAAAATGGTCATTCTGCTTGTGATAATACCAGTAAATAAGAAGATGTTTTCTAGATATTAAAATCTATAATCGATTGTTCTTTTGGGCAATTTACTTATCGTTGTCAAAAAATTCAGAAAAAGTGAATTTTTCAAATTTCTCTAAGATTTTGGGTACGATCAGTTTGTGTTTAAAAGTATATTATAGAATTGAAAAAACTGTGTGGAATACTGCCAACCGCGTGAAAATCAGTTCATTAAGAAATTATTGCAGTTTGAAAATTCAAAAAATACTGTTTTATTAAACTTCTATCAGACTTTTGAGCTCGAAATAACATACAAATTATATTTTTGAGCTCGAAGAGCTCAAAACCGTCATAAGTGCAATTTTAAGCGCTTAAATATGGAATTAGTGGGAAGTTGCAGGGATGGCCTTTAGGGTCAACCGTTTTCCAGATTTTTATTCATGTTCTTTCATTTTTGGTGATTTTTTTAATTTATGTCGTTTTTAAAAATTCAAAATCATTTTTCAAAAACATTAATTTCGGGTGTGTATCTACAAATAAATATCACAAATCTTAACGAATTCCATTTATTATTTTTTTTTCACATTAATTTCAAAATGAAGAATGGCACTTTTCTCTACAATCAATCCGGGAAAAATAATTCAAACTTATTCGTAAAATGAAGTTTTTTAATTAAATTCTTTTTACATCCAAAATGACAATAAAAAATTCTTATAAGACCAATAAAATTCCAAAATGGTCGATGATTTGAACTCTGAAAAATTAAACATTCTTTATCAAAATTATGTAGTTTGATAAACGGGCCAGCCAATGACATTTCCCTGAGGTCCATTCTCATTCATTAGCATCGCTGGAAACTTTTATTCTTAACAAAGGATTAATATTATCGATCAATGGATATGGTTTGATGAAAACTGCCAATGAATAATTCGAATTCTAATTAAAAAGTCTCGTAGATTTTCTCGCCGATCCAGTTTCCAGAGGGTCCGTAGTTGCAGACCAAGTATGTGGTAAACCAGTTGTTCTGGCTCAGGTACCTGATGGGTGGAATTATTCTAGCTGGTTGTGGTCCAGGGTTTCCCTGAGATTCTTTTCCGCTCAGCCTCAGGGTCTCAGGGTTACCCTGAGATTCTTTTCCGCTGGCTACCTTGATGCGCAATTTGTTGTGGTTATCCACGATTTCTCGTATATCGCCATTGCTTAGTTCCATTGACAGAACTTTTCCACATGCTGCTGCTGGTTTGGGGACTTGAATGATCATTTTCATCAGTATATATTTTAAATAAAAATTCTGGCCAAACGATGAGAGATAACGAAAAATTCTTAAAAACTTTTTTTTAGAAAATTAAATTTCTGACCAAAAAGGTATCTTATAATTTTTTAGTATCTTCAATATTTTAGCTAGAAATTCGAATTTGAATTTTCAAAAATAATACTGTTCGTTTGCTCCAAAAATTATAACTTTAAAATAACAATTTTGGCTACATAGTGAGAGATAGAGCAAAATTTATAAAGACCTTTTTTATAGAGAATTAATTTTCCTACTAAAAAGGTTTTGGCTATTTTTGTCGTTTCTCCAATATATAATCCAGAATTTTTAATTGAAATTTTTTTCAGGTTCAATTTAAAACTTTTGCTAATCAAAAATCTCAAAGATCAAGAACATAATTTTTAATACTTACACTATATTTACAAGTAGTATGTACTTCCCCATGGCACGTTTTTGGTTTACATTGATCAGCAGCAGCAACAGCAATAACAGCTGCCAAAATGGTGTAATAAACTTTAGCCATTTTAAACGCAATTAAATTAAAATTATTATACTTCTAGTATCTGAACACAAAACTCAGACTGTAATTTCCCAGAACAGCGATCTTGATATTTATACGCATAAAATATCTTTCTGAAAACAATAAATTTATTTATTGTCATATTTGTTCAATGACTGACAGTGCAAAATATTTTACAATAGTAACACATGTTATTTTTAACTTCCCGCTAAGAAAATTGAAATTTTTCAAAAATTGGGAAGTTATTGGTTTTACCCAGTTTTGCAAAAATCGAATTCTCATCAGATCTCGACGTTCTGAGGTCCTAGGAAGCTTCTCTGACTACTACCGCGGTTGGCGTCATTCAAAAGGGCTTGACCAAATTTAGATTTTAAATACAATTTATTTTGATAAATCTAAAAAAAATTACAAAAAAAATTTTTTTCAAATGTGGTTTTTTTGAAATAACTTTCAAACGGCTTTACCGATCAACTCAAAAAACTAATCAGCTCTTAACATAAAAAAAACCATGTCGATTGCCCTCAGCCCGGTAAAAATCGGTTGATTCGTTCGTGGGTTATCGTTGTCGAAAGAAAACCAAAAAAAGTGTTTTTTCGGAATTACTTTGAAATTCTTATTTTGATCAATTCAAACTTAAGAGTTCTTCATGAGGCTTCAAAAACTGCGTCGAATGCCAACAACCGGGTGAAAATCAGTTCATATAATATTCAAAAGTTATTGCGGTTTGAAAATTCAAAAAATAGTGTTCTATGAAACATCTATCAGACTATTAAGCTCGAAGAGCTCAAAAGCGTAGAATATAGCTATCTCTTTGAGCTCAGATAGCTCAAAAGAACACATGAATTGCATTTTTGAGCTTGAAGAGCTCAAAAACATCATAAGTGCAATTTTAAGCGCCTAGGTATGGAATTTGCGGGAATTAGGGTCAACTGTTTTCCTAATTTTTTTTAAATAACTGTTAACACTTAACGTCCAAACACTCTCTTCGATGTTACGTTACCAACTATTATTTATTATTCAACATCGAAATGGTTTGAATTCACTTCTAATTGCAAATATACATATATAACGAATTGATTTTTGTCGGTACATTACTTACATTAAAATAGACAAAATGAATTTACATTGGACTTAGATCATCCAGACACTCGATATTTGCACGTAAGATTCATAGATGACGTTTATTTTTATTAATGTAATTCAGGAAATTTATAGATTAGTTTTTTGTGAAATTCACTAACTATTTATCACGATCTTTAAATATGCCAAATTATTTATATTTGTCTTTTAATTAAAACTTTCTGTTTCAATCTCAGATTTACAAAAATTTAACTGAAGGATTAGAAAAGATTTCCGCTATTTACAACGAAAAAAATAAAATACAATTTTTTATAGTTACACTTTATTTTCCAAGGCTCAGCAATTACTGCGGACAATCGTATGTGCATAAGATACATTTATTATCAGCACAAATAGTTTTCAATAATAATTAACATGATAAATAAACTTTAACGTAGTTCTACGAACAATAATTATTATAATTTATTTTTCCTTTGTTTTATTATACCTGTAGTAAATACTTGATATGAAAAAAAAAAAATTGTAATGAGCATTGAAAATTTCAGTTAGAGAAATTGCATTTATAACTAATTATTTAAATTTATTGTTATAGCTGTGCACAATTGCTGCTGGATTAGTGATGAATAAAAAATTAACTTATGAACAAATTCGCAAAATTAAAAAAAAAAGACTACGAAATCCACGCCAGATCGAAAAAAAAGAATTGAAGACACATTGCACGCAGTAAACTTTGCTGCTAATCCTACTATCGAAGAGTTTGGTTTATCATTGGATATAGGCAACGTACAAAAGTAGACGCAAGGGTTTTTGATCCACCTAAATTGAGGTATTCAGACCCTGAAAATACACGGGTTAGGAAAGGTAGTTGTCAAGCTGGAAAATTTGGAAAATATGTCAGTGCTATACGTATCCCAAATCATCGGTGGACAGTATTATTCAATAATATGTTATAAATCTTTGAATATTTCAATAAAACGTTAAAAAGTTTTGGTGTGCCTATTGCCATATATTTTATTAGTTCAACTACTGCTCCCAGAGTGTTTAACTACTGCGGCATGTTAGAATTGATTGTTCAACTACTACTCCTTTCATAGTCTATCTTAAAAACGTTGTCTAATTATAAATATTCAATTATTTGCATTATTTTGCACTTCAATCAATTCAAAATTGTTTATATTTTCATAAAAATCACTAATTTGAACTAATAATTACACATTTATATATTAAAAGTAGGGTCAAATACGTTTTACTTTGAAACCTGTTCAACTACTGGGTACTTTACCTTATATAAGTCTATACGACCCGGAAATAAAACTGGCTCTCCAACAGTTCTCCAAATCAGAGGTTTAAAATATTCACAAGACTCTCGTTTGATGATTCATGGAAATCAATTCCGCAACGCATAAACAATTCATTTTTCGAAACTCAACCTAGGCAGCTATATTCCAAACCTATTCCTATAACTAATCAAAAATACAAAGTCTCTAAAATCATTACTTCCCAAAGATTATCACTCATTCTATGATAATTTAGCTTATACAGAGCAATAATAATGTGATATTCACTAATTATCTTTAAGTTAA